GTTCTGCTTGACCTTGTCTTTTTTGAGTAGTAGTTTTTGGCTCTTATTAGCATAGTTCCCAAACTTATATATCATGCTAATATCACCACTAGAAAGTCATGAGGTTCACAAGTTTATTATTTAACAAGTGAACAGGTGTCCCATTTGAGTTATCCTAACTCAGGCATGCCCATATTTCAAAAATTCTCACCATGTTCACATCATGTTCCGCGATCCCAAGAACACGTGGCTTACTTACAGATCTCCATGTTAACTGTGCTCCCTACAGTTATTCAATGTAGCCCCTTGATTTTTGGAATGTGGTGTATATACTCAGGGTTACCATAGCCTTCATAAGTGTTCATAACCCTCCATCAACCTTTATAGGTGTATTAAAATTTTCCTCTTTTAAGAGTGGAATGTCATCACTTCATGATCTTTTGGCTAATATTGAGTCAGGGTACTCTATTACCCTAGACCAATTTATATTTTTATTTCTTGCCCTCCCTACTTCTGATTTCATGGTAACATTGTTATGATCCAAAGACTCAAAGTGTACAAAAAAAAGATCTCTGAGAGGTGAGTGCACACTATTTTTCAATATACGATCAGGACAGTGTTTCTCTCCTGTTTCCATTATGATACTTGATGATGTTTAACATTGTACTGGTCTTTTCTAACACCAAATAATATAAAGCTGTTTCCCTTCATAGCTAGGTATGGCATAACACCTATGGCACAGCAGAGCTCTAGTGAAAAAGCACTTTCAGATGTGAAGGAGACTAGGATTCTAGCCCTGGGCCTATCTTTGACTAATTATATGATCCTGGAACAATTAAAAACACAGAATTTGGGGATAGCAGATGACATAATGGTTACTTCGCAGGACTCTCATGTAGTCAACAGCACTTCAAGTCCTGGAACTGGAGGCTTAAAACTCACACTTGGCGTGTGTGTGTACGTGTCCGAAATCCAGAGAGGAGAGGAGAGAAGAGGAGAGGAGAGGAGAGGAGAGGAGAGGAGACTGTGGCATGGCCATCCCCCCTGAAGGGTGATTTCTTGCTTTCCATCTCTCTGGTGAGCACATGAGCCCTATAGTAAAAATCTCTCTCCAAAACAAAACAAAACAAAATCACAAAACTTTATTGGAGTTCTGATGAATACTGGGATACAGAAATAAATAAGTCACATATCCTGACTTCATGCAGCTCACAGGCTAGTGGAAGAGAATGATAGGAAAGTCAGGATTAAAATAGGGTATGATAAGTGTCAAGAAGTCTTTATTAGATATAGGAGAACAGAAGAGAAACTCCTAGATGAGGCATCTAAACTATCTAGAAGCAGGAGAAATAGGCTGGAAAATACTTCCCAAAGAGTTATGATATTTGAATTGAGAGTGGAGAAGCTTGTTTTTTTTACTACTGTATTCCCAACCCCTAAAACCGTGTCAGGTACAGGGTAAGAACTCAGTAAAACCTCTGCTTACTGGTAAGAGTAAGGGAGGCAACTCCATCTGGCTAGGACGACTTAGACAAAGGTGTGGAGACATTAGAAACATGGTGAGCTCAGGGAACTGTGAGCAATTACGGAGTGTGAGGGTGGAAAAAGGAGGAGTGGTTGAACCTAAGGCTAGCAATGTCACCCAAGACCAGAACATTAAAGGCCTGACATGGGGCCCAGCCCGCAGTCTACTGGTTAAGGAAGTTGGATTCCACACGGTACACTGTGCCATTCAAATTCCAGACCCAGAGGCTTGGAAAACACTCCAGGTACATGTGCATTGTGTGCCAAGGTTCTGACAGGATGAAGAAATGGACAAGAGATTGTGGTGTGATAGTACCCCATTGGGGGATGGTTTTTCCCTCTCTCTTGATCTCTGTCTCTCTCTGGTAAGTCCATATGCTCTCTGGAAAATAAAAAATAATAATGATAAAAGCCTGGTATGCCTAGTAAGGCTTTTGAACTTTATTTTGTAGTCAACAGGAAGCTACTACAGGATTTAAGCATTGGAGTCACGTGATCAGATTTTTGGTGTTAGCTCGATGTACTAATTTTCAACTTATTGCTTCTCAGCTCCAAATTCACCCTGCATTTCCTCCTCAGTAAAAGTAGAACTAGACCCTTTAAATATTTCTCCTCTGTCATAATGTTAAGCTTTGTCAGTACAGGACACTGAGGGGACACTGAAAGAGGAGGGACCTCTCGTAGGCTCAGGTGTGCACCTTTGTTAGGGTCCAGGAGCTTGCAGTTTCCCCAGGACAGAGGCCCTGCAGTGCACAGCTTCTCCAGCATCTGGAGAATGCCATATATGATCTTGAGTGCCCAACGCCACAGTCCATGGCGGCCATCAGTGCCCATGACAGCAGCCTCTCCTGGCACCTCACTTGGGAAGCTTTGTAGGTGAGTTCAGCAGTGAGTCACCTTCTTGCGAATGGCTTTTCCAACATCCCAGAGTGGATTCTGCCTGCACCTCAGTAAGTAATTGTAAGTAATTTTTTTTTAATTTTTTTTTTAATTGAGAGGTTTTTGCTATAGGAAGCGTGCACTCACCAGAAAGACAGAGAGAGAGAGAAAGGACAGAAAGCGAGAAATCACCCCCTGGGGGGATGGCCACACTGCGGTCCCTTCTCCATTCTCCTCTCAGGATTTTGGGCACAAACGCACACACGCCTGGCATGAGTTTAAGCCACCGGGTCTGGGACTCGAACCATGGTTGATTACATGAGAGTCCAGCGACATAGCTGTTACGCCAACTGCTGGTCCCCACCTCAGTAATTTCTATGCTTTCATGTGAACTGTGGCCATACCTTCAGCAACAAGCTCTAGGAAAGATCTCTTCCTTGGGTGATCACCCAAGAGTAGTGACTCTTCTATTTGTGATTCCTGCATGCTATAGATATTTTATTTTTTAAAAAAGAATTATTTTATTTAACTTTGCTTATTTATTTATTTTAATTTGACCAGAGAGGGACTGAGAGAGAGAGAGAGAGAGGGAAAGTGAGAAAGCAAGTTGTCAGGTCCAAGACTCGAACTGTGGTCGACCATGAAGGAGTCTAGCACACTTAACTACCCTACCACGCCACCTGCTGGCCCCTAGATCTATTTTTTATATTTTACTAGCCAACCCTCTATTACTCCAATCCCATTATTATTTAAAGTTCTTTAATTAAGCTTTCCTTGTTAAAGTTACTATGTCTCTGTCTTTCCGGTGAGCACACGTGCCCTATAGCAAAAACTCCAAAAAAAAGGAAAAAGAGTGGAATCTCATCACTTCATGACCTTTTGGCTAACATCAAGTCAGGGTACCCTATTACCCTAGACCAATTAATATTTTTTTCTTGCCCTCCCTACTTCTGATTTCATTGTAACATTCTTATGATCCTTCCTGTTTCTTACACAGAGGACAGTGTTGTGTTGGATTATGAAACACATTGACTGTTGAATGTTGAATTATGAAACACACATTGACTGGTAGGCAGCTGAATGGATAGGACCAGGTGAAGCTTTAGGCAGGGAGCCTGGTTAGGAGACTATAGCAGCAAAAGGAGGGAAAGGTGCTAAGGAGATGGGAATCACAGGATTTGGTCTTACTGGGGAGGAGGATGAGGAGAGAGGGGTCTAGAGTGACTATTAATTTCCAAGCTTGGATGACTGGGTGGGGTGGCATCACCATACAAATGGAAAACTCTGATGGAGGGTCAGGTCAAATTCTTCTCCCAGATTCTCATTTACTCTCAGGAGTTCCCTAAACTTTTGAGTTACAAACACTTGAAATTATTGACTCCTTGGGTTACAAAGGCTTCAAGCCCAACTTTCTACCTTGGGGAAAAGTGGGCTGTTTGTTCACATTAGATTAAAGAAAGGGGGGTGGGGGGGAGAAGGTCTTGTAAAGTGTAAAGTTCTTGTTTTCTTTTTTAAATTTTCCATTTAATCCTTGTACATCTTTACAGCATACAGTATGGTTTTTCAAAGCATACATGCATTGCATGTCGATCAAGTCAAAGACATTGCCACATACATCATCTTCAACCGGTAACTTTGCATTCTTATGTCTGTTCATTTTTCTTCCTGAGCCCCTCCCACCTACCTGCCTACTATCCACCTCCTCCTAACCGGTCTCTGGTATCTATACTTGTCATCTCTGCTGCTATATCTTCTATTCTCAAAGCTGTCAGTATGGTAGGCCTTTAATTACCCCCACCTCCAGCTTTTACCACTCAGTAAACTTTCTCAAGTGAAGCCTATGTGACTCCCAATGTGAAACTGCAGACCAGCATGGACTTCCTCAGTGTGGAAGATAATAGACTAGGCTTGTTCCTGGAATTTCTGATTCGGTTTTATTGGTGTAGGCTATAGCAGGCTTCAGTTATTTGAAAGAACATCTCCTGACATCGGAATCTCAGAGTGCTCATTGAAGAATACCAATGCTAGGGACCAGCAGCTAGCGTAATGGCTGTGTTGCTGGACTACCACATAGTGGACCGAGGTTCAAGTCCTGGACCTAGCATCTTTTTTTTTTTTTTTTTTTTGAGAGATTTTCACTGTAGGGCGCGTGCGCTCGCCAGACAGACAGAGAGAGACATAGAGACAGAAAGCGAGAAATCACCCCCCAGGGGGGATGGCCACGCCGCAATCCCTTCTCCTCCATTCTCCTCTCGGGATCTTGGGCACGCACGCACACGCGCCCGGCCGGACCTGGCATCTTAAACTCACGCTGGGCGTGTGTGTGTGCGTGCCCAAGATCCCAAGAAGAGGATGGAGGAGAAGGGATTGCAG